CCCCCCCAAACCTATCAACATTCCCAAGCAGTTGTGTGTTGAAAATGTTGCTTTTTAAATACCAAGCTCAAAATTTTGAGAGGCAATTTTGTCTGGATTCAACTCTTTATATTAATTCCTAGAGATATTGTACATGATGATGTGCAAGTTGTAGTCAATTTATATGTCATGCAGATTTTTTGAGGTGAGTGCTGTCTACTATACCCATTACCTACAATGTTTAGTTTGCGTGAGTAAAGAAAGTTTAGAGCAAATGCCCTAATTTGGACTACTATTTCAATTCTGTAATAAGTATCAAATATAAATCATGTTACTATTTTCATTGTAATGAAAGTTATTGTGGCTCAGTTGTTATGTCTCCTTTTAACAATTTTGGTGAGCATTATGATCTCATGCACACTAATTAGTATCACATTGGCTGAAAGTGAAGTGTGAAAGAAAGGGAGTATCTGTGATCACAAGTATTTGCACCTTTCTTTTTTCTTTTCTTTTTCAAATAGCTGGGGTGGGCTTTGTAGTTAGGCTCATGCAATGACTTGCACCGGTATCCTTTAAGTCTAAAGGCCTCATAATTAAGTCAAAATTTTGTAGCATGTGTAACTGTGAAACTGCTCAGACCCTTTTTACTTAGCTGTTTTATATGACACTGTGCTCATACGTACCTATCAAATAAATTGAATGTAAGTATGTACAGTTACAGTTTGCATGAAAGTTATGAATGATCCCTGCAAGGTTGTACACCATTTCCCTGTAGAATCTAGTTGAGGGAGCTCTTCACTGTGCTGCTTTGGACTGTGGTGGTACAGAAATAGCCATGTTATGTGTTGATTGTGTAAACGATTAAGAAGTATTATATTCACTTATTGGATACTGGCCAAGCTAACTCATGTATATAAGAACATCAAAACTATGTGCCAGCACTTTTCACACTACTGTAGGTAGAGCCTTGTGTGCCATGTGTGTGTCTCTGTAAAGTGTATGTATGAACTTTTTTTTGTCAGCTGTGTATATGATAGAATGTATCTGAGAGTGTATGTATGTTGGTGTATTGCCTGCAGTGATTAGATCAATTCAATTTCATAAGCCACTGGCACTTAGCAGAAATTTCACTGTTTGTCTTAAATACATACCTAGGTGGTCTGGTACGTCAGTATCTTATATCGTTTGTTTGGACAGCATTTCATTTATTTGTTACTTTTGTACACGACTGAATGATTTATGATGGTGGACATGGTCTGTTTTGGTGCCCACTGGTTTGTTTAATTTCTGCTTATTTTATGAGCACGCCTTGCATATTTTATGATTTGTTGTTAATTTAAAACATTTATTGAATAATTTTATGAACTGTTTATTTATGATTCTTGTATGCTGCACTGTCAAGATTTATTTCTGGAATCTTCCTGTAGATGTTCTTTTTATTTTTTGCAATAAGTGACCTGTCAGTGGAGATATTGCAACAATTTTACAACTGTTATATGTGGACTGACCTGTTCCTTCAATTGACATTCCAATCTTTCACTTTCATATATTTGTCATCTTAATGTATTTATCATCATCTCTCTTGTCATATTGTCATTGATGTGGCGTTTAAGCAACACCAAAGACGTTTTGTGTATCTCTTATGAACTATACCTTATGTTTCCTTTTTTATTTCCAAATTACAATACCACCTAATTTGATAATGCGTCAGCATCGTGAATTAATCACAATTTAAAAATTGAAGTGACACTAGCTTGCAAAACCAATACCGAAAGTAAATAAACTGCTCCAAATGAGGATCATTTTAGATTTTAAAATTTAAGAGGTATTCTCTAAAAGCATAACTGTGCCATCAAAATCCTCTTTCTTTTCTGTAACAGTTCCTCTTGTCTCAGCTCTAGATAGTTTAATAAGGGGGCCGGAGCTATTTCTTACATGCAGCACAGCTTGTTTCACTGGTTCAAAATTTTTAGCTTGGTGCCTATAAAATTTGAGGCAGCTGACAATATGCAATTCTTTCTCATAGCCATTTAAATGTAGGATTCAGAATCATCTACTATCTATGGGGTAGCTCTTTTATTGTTTACTGTGTTTATATTTGTTTTCATTCCAATTTTACCGTGCTTCCCTCCCTTCACTAAATGTAATATGACATATTTGTGTATCTTTTTTTTTCTGTTTTTATGTAAATATTCAAATGCATGTGTTGAAGTTTGGGTCATTTAGTAGTGATCTTAGTTGAGTAAAAGGTCATTTTGATATTAATTTTTATGATTTTATTTGTTCAATTTGTAATGTTGTTTTTCTTAGAGAAGAATTTGGTGAGTGAGGCTGCAGCAGTATTGAATATCCATTCCTGTTGTTTCTTTATGATATGTCTATGCAGTGTAAATCTCATCTACAAATTCTTTTGATGGTCTTTTGTTTTTGTTGTGATACAGGTCCTTTAAAGCTGTGTACCTTGGCTTTGGATAACATTGTTCATCCACATCTTTTTTTAAATTTGTAAATGCTGGTGGAAAACATTGATTTATATTTTTTTGGTATCACCAAGCATTTTTGTTTACGTTCTTAATCTCCACTGTAGTTGTCAATGAATTGTATGTTGTGTGCCACATAATGTTCCGAGAGACTGTTATTAACCCTTGGGCACCTGAGCATTCTGTGAAATTTTTTAATTTGATGTCGAAAGGCATTTATTTTCATGAGATACCTTATTTGCTTTGATCTTCTCAGAAATCTATAATTATATGTATGTAAGGTTGTAGAAATGAAC